GAGAACTAGGAAGTTACTTATGCTTCCTGTTGGAACTTGGTGAAAATTCACTTTTTTGAATTCTCTCGAACAATTCGAGAGGTAATCGTTCTTCGGGTAATGTTTTACTTCATTGTAGCAATTATCATACAAAATGAAACAACGGGTACGTAGTAATACACGTGCCCCACGTGCTCCCCCGTCACCCCGTCTTTCTCATCCCATTTCCCACTCGCTCGCTATACACGAAATAATTTGGGCCACGCCCTTGTGTCTCAGGCTAGGCCACTTGAAATTCTGCTGAGAAAAACATTTTTGCAAAGAAAAAACTTCGGAATACATTTTTTCAAATTTTTTTCAGCAGGGAGACGATATCTTCTGTAGATCACTTAGTAAATGATCTACAGGATCGGATGAGATGGCTCAAGATACTCCTGAACGGACTGAACGGACTACTTACCGTACGTGTCGAGGACGATATGAGGTTTTACTTGGATTAAAAATAGCGGACTTTCACATCGCGAATACTTTTTAAGCCGATGAATGTGGCTTTTGAAAAAATTGTTAAAAATTCAATCAATAGTCTTTAAAAGTTGCATATAACTTTGAACTGCAAAGTAATGCTCGGCTGAATCCGAAATGACTGAGAGTGAACGTCCAATGGCAGGTATGGACTGGAATGCGCCATGCGCTCAAGCTCTCCTTGAAATCCAACATGCTTATAGTCCTGCATGAAGGATTTACATAGTTATTTACTTGTTCACTCGGCTGTGTGGACCTACCATAGTATAGTGCATTGTAGCAAACAACCACCCAAAGAACGACGAATTGCTGAGGGCAGTCTGGCGGTTTAACTTTCTTTTACTGTTTACGTTTAACTTTCTTTTACTGTTTACTTCGATACTCAAAACAGTTTAGTTCGTAGTAGTTCTGAATCGTTTCCTTCGTGCTGTGGAATAAATAGTTCATGGTTTTGCTGTTGTTGACAAGTCTGAGTTCATCATAAATCAAATGTTTACTGTTATAACGGAAAAAGTACAGTCTAGAAGCAACACACGAAAGAAATGTTCTGTGACCCTTCTAGTGCAGCAGCAGGAGCAGCAGCTCGCTCGCGTGTTTTCCTCCCCGTTGACATTCGCTTAAGCGCCATTCTCGTGGTCAACACAGAAAAAAAAATCGTTACATCGCATTGTAATCTGGGAAAATGAAGTTTTACAGAGTATTATCACAAATTATCATTTATTGCTATGATCTTAGTAGTACTATTCTCCACTTTTCAGGATAACCTTTTTTCGAGTTACCAGTATAAGTAAAGCTGCCATGAAATTTCCAAAAAAAANAAAAAAAACCCTCGAAAACACTGCAGACGCTCCGAAAAAATGGAAATTTGATGGGCCCTTGTGTTTTTGGGCCACTTCAGTCCTCTTTTATTCCCTTCCTGCCCTTTACTGGTCCTTCACTGCCCCCCTACCCTACCAGCCAGAAAACTTACCTTGAAAAAACCAATTTGTCACAGCTAAAATGTGGCCTCTGTAATGAGATTCGACACGTCGAATCAATGTTGAAGTGGGGTGTTTTTGTAGTTCAACGTGATAACGTGATAATAGTTGTTTTTACAAGTGAGTGGTTTAAAGTAATGTTAAGTACAATTCTGGTAGTGATTTCTTCGATTCCGCTCTATTGCCAAAAAACTGTGAACCTGTAACAAAACCAGTTGCGGAAACTCCACCAGCTTCATGGGTATTCATCAGGGTCCCGTTGGAATCATGCAGAACCGCCCTGGCTCCATTATGTCTGCATGGTATTGTAGCGAAACATTCCTGTTTTAACAGTACAAAGTTCATGTTACATAACAAAGTACAGTTTAGTGGATTTGTTTGAATTTTCGATTTTTTCCCGTTTCTATTCTGTGTGCTTTCATAAAAACCCTGTGTACATTCTCACTGATTTCGCTGCAAATTTGAAAACAACAGTTTTTTACTGGTAATTTTTATCACGCCGTTCGGGAAAACGTTTCCGAAGGGAGAGAAATGGCGATCGCTTCAACAGATCTCAACATTTCAAGTAGGAAAAAAAACAAGTTACAGGTGGGACCGGATAAAGAGGTTGGTGTTGATCAATTCCCCACGTCACCTCCTTTGCGTCACCCACTTCACAGCCATACAGTATCATAAGGGTGTATGAGTTATGGGGGACGACGAGAACACGTCCGCCAAGTCATTACGGTAGGGTGTCATGGTGGGAATAAATTGGGCTTCGATCTGTTGACGTGTCGCCTCGCGGCACTGCACTATCACCATCTAAAAATAGAAAGCTGTCAATTTATTTGAAATCCACAAAAATTAATTCTCAAAAATCAAACAAATATAAAAATTCCCGTTGTTATGTTTGGTATGGCAGAAAAATGTGCTGCACGGCTGCCGGGATTGATTTTCATCTATTTTTGGAAAGTTTATGAGAATGTCATCGTTCGTATAAGCAAAACCTGATGTACACTGATGAAAACTGTGCACGACGGGGGAAATACTGTGTAGGCGACGGTCTATGATGAAGTGGGGGAAAGTTCCCCCCAACGAACACGTGCAAAACCGGAAAACACCACATCAAATTACGAAGTGCGTTTCGGGAATTGTTTCCCGTGTGACAAGGGCCATCCTTCAAACTCTGCCTCCTTCATCAGAAATATGTTTTCTACACGGTTCAGTATATGATCTGACACTTGTCAGACTTGGGGATGCACTGCTTTTTTTTTCTTTGATCGACTCGCCAAAGAGCGATCAATAAAAAGTGTGTGGGACGTCCCCGTGCATGCGTTGTACACGTGAGTGGGAGATACGAGTTAAAGCTTTTGCACCCCCCGTTGTCGCGTATCGGAGATTACGAAACCGTTCAGTGTACCCACATATTTTTCCTGTTTCTATCTTTACGATTGGCTATTTGTCTCATACAAATAAACACAAATATGGCATTTTTTGTTGGGACAAAATGTGCCACCCGTAGGTCACAGGGAACAATCGATAAACGCCAAATGCCAAGCGTAATCGGCTATCGGCAGTTTACTTACTCTACGAGAACTACTTTATTACACACAAGTAGGAGTATCAGTCTGACGCATAGAGGAGCATAATTTGAGTCCACTCGTTATTGAGTTAATCCGGGGGCTAAAACACTAACACATGTGATGGGACCATCGATCAACAATAATGACGAGCTGGAACAGCTCAGCCTAGGGATTAGTAGGGTTGACATATCTGGGATGTAATTGAAAAAGTGAAAGGTATTTGTAGAGGCTTTTACGGGATTGCACTAAAAGTGAAGGTACCATTTTAGTTACTAACTAGTAAATTACTTTTAGTTCACTGAGTCACCCAGACATTTGTGCCTATGACGAATATGACTGGGAGCCCCTATAGGTGCTCTGCACGTAATCCGATTGGTTTATGACGGTGGCGCCGCCTGGACTCGACCGACCGACCAGCCGAGCAACGTCAACTGCACCGCAGGTGAACGATATTTGCAAGAGGGGGGCCCAAAGTCATCGGGGACGGGAGAGAGTGTATTTTGAAATTCACTGTACAGTATGACATCAATGTGTGGTTGTCGAGAGAGGGGTATGAGGTTTCATTCGATCGCGATCGGTTACAGGAAACTACTTGTTCACCTTCGGGAAAACAAGTAACCAGACGTCAGAGACGCAGAGGATCAACCAGTAAAACGAAGTCGTTTTATGTACAAACAAGGAAAGGGGTGCATCTTACATCATCTCCTACCTTCCTTTGCTTATTAGTACGGTCCTGCAATTGATAAGAGAGCAATGAATGGAATGGGTGCGTATGTTTGGGCTTTTATCAGGTACTGGGCAGCTAAATTTGTACCGGTTACCCCAGTTGTTATGTATAGCTGCTGAAAATTGCTTCTGGCTCTTGCGCAGCATGGTGTTTGATCCGGACACACGTGTGCAGCTGGCTGTCGTCGAGCACAAATAGATCTTTTGTTAGGGCATGTTGCAACGTGGGGGGCCTCCCTCCCATGCTTTCCTTCCACACAGCTCCCCTCCAACACCACCACACCACCACCACTCCTGCAAAATATGTTCGACCGGCTGGCCGGCTGCTGCTACGACTGGCTGGCCCCGTGCTCGCCCCTGCCTGCTGCGCGAAAACAAGCTCTCCATGTTTTCTTGCCGACGACCGACAACGCGCTCGCCCGCTCCAACTTGCCCTTTTACATCATGAGATGACGCAGCTAGCTGCTGCTGTGAATTCATGACAATGGGAATTTCTTGGCAATCGGCGAATCATCGTTTTAACGTTGGTTGATAAGGCCGGAGATCAGCAACGATGTCACGCGGCCCTTTCCACCAGGCCAGACCTCAAACATCCCCTCCTGCTCCCAGCTCTATCAGCACCTTACCCAACTTTGCAGCGTTTGCAGCAGCTGCAGCAACAGCAGCAATATCGTGACCCCTTGGTCAGAAGTCAATACTGTGTGAGCAAATCGTGTGTGTGTGTGTTGTTTACATAAACAAGCACGGCGGGCCCGTATCGCCGCCGCCGCTGCGCCGGTGATGGTCGGTCGTAGCAGCAGCGACGGACGCGAACCGAACCGAACGCGTTTATATCCACGTGGATAGCGCATGAAAAACAAGTGCACGTGTCGGCAACGGAGGCCCCCCGACACTTGGGGTGGTGAGATAGCACGCGACCAGACGCGCCAGGGCAATATCTGAGGGAATGTGCACTCAGAATTCCCCCCGTTGACTGGCTGGGGCTGGGCTGGCCTGGGCTGCAACCTTTCACTTCACTTTGTAGCAATGGACCGATGAATGAACGCGTATTTTACGTTAATCCATCCAGCCACCCAGCCAGCCAGTCAGCCCCACACAGTCATCCCCCCTGGGTAATTCGCGTTTTGCACAAACCGGAACAGAACGTGTGTGTGTGTATGATGAGATGATTTTTCCTACAAATAGTTTATTGATGACACAAAAATGAAATATTACAGTAATCATGGTGATCATGTCATACACGAAGATGAATCGGCAAGAATGATGACACCTCGAATGTCGAGGTACGCGGCAGAGAAGTAGTTGTGAGATCGAGGTAGGGATAAAGCGAGGGCCGCGGATAACAAATCGGCAATGCAGGAAGTAAACCTTCAGCAACTGGATCAATGATCAAAGGTTGAGGTGAATGAACGGGTTTAGTAGAAGGAGAATATTCAAGAAATACAGGTGAATCACGGGATAAACGTGAAATGGTAGATGCTGGACGAGGTGACGTGGACTGGGATGTGCCTTCTTTAAGACGTTCCAATTCATTTTGTAGTAACGTCTTTTGCTCTTCCAATCGTTCACGTTCCTTGATCAGGGCAGCATTTCCTTGTTCAAGTTGCTATAAATAACGAACATTATATAGATGAAACGTGATGTACCGTAATTTTCATTAATGTGTTTCCTGCGAAGAAATCTTCCTAGCAGTTTAATGTGTTAGAAGAAGTGCAACACAGATCTGACGTGGAAAGTCATGCGGCGGTGTGGGGGTATTCTTAGCAGCAAAGAGTGGCAGCATCAGATCACGTGACTATCTCGTGCTCCCACACACACACTCCGTCGTCCTCACCTTGATGTGGTCACGGGCCCGCGTCAGCAATGCCAACGTAGTGTTACGAGATGCATCAGCAATTGGTGGGACCAACGTTTTCAACGTCTCCAAACATCCACGTAGATTTGCTCGACGTGTCTTCTCCAGCTCATTATGAGCTGCTCTATAAAAAATTGGCTATAAATAAGTATGACTTGTAAGCTTAAAATGGCGATCCCCACAGCTCAGCTTAATCCACCTTTGACAGATAAGCGGTGATGTGAAATGCCGTGAAAATTACGTCAAAGTGGGATAAGAGTTTGCTCTGAGTGTGTGTTCGTTCGCCTTTGCCTAACGATGATGATTCATTCTCACTAACCGACTGTGCTTGGTCGAGTTTTTTCGTGGTGGTGAGGGAATACAGTAAGGTTGGGCACTGGTTGAGGCCGAACATAATTTACGATCCACACGTACTTTCCTCGAGAATACATCCCTGAGTTCGAGTTGTACAGCATCTGAAAGAAGAAATCTTCGAAATTGTGATAGCCAGAGGAAGATTGGACAGTTCCCAGATGAACTCCCATGTAACTAAGGGTATCTGGAGGTGGTTAATTTGCTTGGGAATATGGAGAAGGTAAGAAATGAATAGGAAGGAACAACGTAACGAACCATGATTTAACGGTTGACAAGCGGTGATAGAAGGCGGAAAAGCCGTCGGTTGCTGGGTAGTGGTGATAGTAGTAGTAGCCGTAAGATTTGGTACAGTGGTTAAGGATGGTTGAATAAGTGAGTTGACTTTGGTTGCTCCTCCATCGAGTAGTCTAGCGGCGGTCAGTAACGTTTCAATGCTTAGCTGTGCGTCCATTTTGCGGAGAGTGTGCAGCCAGCGAATGTGCGTGCGACAATCGCCTAGACTGACGGGTGGGGGGAGGGTGGGACGACGACGAGCCAGAGAACGGCCCCCACCCGTACACGTGGTGGGCACGTGTATCACGTCCACACACACACACTCCGAGTGGCGGGCGGCGTCGTCGACAACCCCACACACACACACACAGCGTGTGTGAGAGCGAGTGTTAGAGAGCAAGTAACGTCGACATGGGGCGAAGAGACAGAAGACAGCAAGCCCCCCGACGACGACGACTCGTGTACTCGTCGGATGGATGTGGCGGACCCGACAATCGTTCACGGCCACGTCTACACACCCATACACACACATACATATGGATAGACAGGTACACATACACGCACACACACACACACACGAAACTTGCAGCGTTCTCCAGGCTACTAAATCATCTGCAATCGCCGAGTACTTTTTCAACTCCACGGGGTGATCAACGACAGGAGACCACCCACTGAGGGATTTGACAGAAAAGGTGGTGGTTGTGGGTGGGAGGGCTCCAGATCAGGAATACAAGAACAGCAGTTTGTAAATCAATGAAGGCCTTGATGGAGGGTTTTGCCATCATACCTGTCCGTGGATGGATGGCCTTCAAATTTGTACAATGTAGAGAACGACTAATTCGTCAGGTTCCGGATTTTTCTCCACATCATTGCTTTACAAATACTAGTCACGTCGAGTGATTACTATAAAAAAAGACGACTGTATAGTGGTGTATGTGTACGTGCATGGGTATGTGCCCATCTGGGCCACCCATACCTGATCAGGTGTATTACGAAGTAAAACGTCATTATTTTGTGTGGAAATGTTCAAAATTCACTTGTTAATGATGAGAATACGTTTCCACGTGCACATGTGGTGGGTGCCTCATTACATCGGCTGCCTGACAGGCTTGGCAATCCCGTTTTCGAGAGAGAGTACATTGCACGATTAGAACACGTGAATGTCTGGCGGCGTTGTCCGGAGAACCCATGGGACGACAACGGGCTCCCATACGGGTGTTTTTCGGTATTTTGTCTAAGATTCACACATCACACCACACAACACATACACACACACAACCATTGCATAATACCACCCTATAAACATACTTTGGACACACTATGCCTGTTCTTTGACCCCACACTTTGCATGAATGCACTAGCGTTACCTCCACGTCAATAGTGGGCCGTTACCCAGATGTCAGAAATTCCTGGGACTGAGCTGGGAGGTTGAGCAGGAGCTGTTCTATTCCTGGGCAATCGTCGATTTTCCATTTGTTTAGTGAACTTTGCAGGTATTTCTTCAGATAAATCACCTCCTCCCCTCGTAAGGTCCCCTACGTGTGTATGTGTGTGTGTGTGTGTGCGAAATCGAATTGTCGGAAAAGAACGTGCTAAGAAGGTGCAATGTCAATAATCAATAAAATCGCGCCGGTTCTAGTTTTTAGTACTGCTTTGAATCATATTTGAGCACAGAGAACGTACGGAACACACCAACACCATCGTGTATGAACCGCCGCCAAGTTATCATTTCAATAGGTGGGTGAATACCCAGACGTGACACGAATGGTGTACGTGGTTCCCGTAGGCCGTGTTGGCCCGGCCGTTCCAATCATCCCTCTTCCCCTTCTGTGTTCAACCAACCGAACGTGACAAATCTCTGATGTTGACGGATTTTCCCATGTCCCACGAATGATTGGGGAAATATTACATGTGTATGTGTTGGTGTATGTACGTGTCTGTTGGGAGGATATTCTGGGAATGCCCACGTGTCCTTTGCCGCCATCCACCATGTGTAAAGTGTAATTGTCGTTCTCACTCTGTACAATTATGCTAGTGCAGACAGACATCCTGTTAATGTAGGGCTGCGTGATTTGCAGCGATTTCTGCGCAGGAATCCAATGAACGCTTTGGTGGGCTGTTATCGACTTGATTC